AAAGAAAGATTTCCCGGGATGCTTCCAGGCTTGGCAGCGGCGCTGGGATCGTTGTGTTCACTCCCAGGGGAACTACTTCGAGGGTGATGGATGAATTTAATACCTGAGATAAGTGTACGGGTTTTTATAGGCGCAGTCTTGAAACTTTCCGATCGCACCTCGTATTAATAAATTCATAGTGATACATATATATGCACTTTTTGTTAAAATGTTTTAGCAAAGCTAAAAAAATATATTTTGTGTGTCTGACATTAGTAAAAAACTGTGCCCAATAAGTATAAAATCATTACATGCTATATGTGTTCGCATGTACTGTAATATATTGTTGTGAAACTTGACAAGTAGTGTTCTAAGAAGTGAACGAAGCTAATGTGTTCATCCTTGAACATTTTTGTATGAGAAACATAAATTGGCTAAATCCCATATATGGTACATTAAAAAACAGTTGTTAATTTATATTTCTTTCATGCCTGTATACTCTGAAAATTTCTGAAATGCAGTATGTTTCATAAACACTAACAAAAAGAATTCCATCCACATAACTGGGACAAACTGTTTTGTTTTATATCCATACCTGCCTACCTGGTGAGAGTGAAGAAATTTGCATCCAAGATGTCTGACAGAATGAATCTACAGTTATAACATAGCTCAAAACCATAATGAGATTATTATTTTCCTTATTCACTAAGTTTTGATTCTGACTCAACTGGATCCTGACATCATCAAACCTGTGAATCTGACACAGGCCCACACCTACACAAGGTCACATGCTCTAATTTATATGAAGTCTGTAGCCAATCACATTAAATTTACTGAAATTTAAACATTGGTAATACATATATATTAAAAATTATTAAACCTGAAATAAATGTGAAAGGTGCTCTTCAGGTTTCTAAAAATAACCCACAAATGAATGAAAATTCCAATTTTGTTAATAAGTCACATTTACTCAGAATTTACATTAATGGAAATGTATCAATCATCAATGGCAGAAACATAAAAATTGTAAATATTTTCCATATCATTTGTAAGAAAAACATATAGATGTTGATCAGCATGAACTTAAATTGTTGAGAAAAACTGTATTCAGAATTATTTTCTACTATGAAGAATGTTTGGCAATATTCCAGGATGCATTTCTGCGTATCATAAATGGAAACCTTTATAATACAGTACATACAAGATACTTGTGCAATAATGTTAACAAATTTTAATATAAACAAACACCAGGGCCCAGCAATTTCTGTATATTCTACACAATGAACAACAATTGTGTACAGTGCTACAGGTTTAAATCCTACATCTGAGGTTCAAAGAATATAATGCAACACATTTCAAACTGGTAAGGCACATTACAACAAAGACTGATGGGTGGTGAAAATGGTAATCTGGATGAAAAAATTCACCCCAAATTCCAAATATTCACGTTTTCTTCTTGCTGCCTTTGGCTCTACCAGAAGTTGATTTCTTTGAGACAAGAGACTTCTTTCCATCTAGAGCTCTAGCCCTCAAATCATCTTCCATTGCTTCATTTACATTTTTTGTTATGATTTTCTTTAGCTTTTGTGCTTCCTGATTTTTTTGTTTTTTGGGAGCAATAGGGCGACCTGAAAAAGTTTAAAACACAGCATTTAAAAATTGAATGTATTTATAAACCCTACACAAGCAGTTATAAACACTTATTAATGTAGGATATAACTCAAAATATCTTAGCTACACAAACATGCACACACCACACCATCATTTTGTATGCATGGTAAGGTCCAGCTCACAACAGACAACTTCTTTTCTCTCCAGCTAAATGTTCAAATTAGGGTTCCAGAGGCCATATGACAATCACATTTGACTTGGATTTCATTGTGTACGATGCAACAGCAATGACTGAACAGAACATTTTCATACCCTCAGTCTTAAGTTTGGGGCTTCATCTCTGGCCAGGCACTAAACTGGTCTCAAGAGTAAATGTAGCTTAGTTTTACTGTTTTCATTTTATCTCTGGGGAAAAATGAAACAAAGTTTCCATAATTAATCTACACAATCTGGAGGCCTCAGAAACCAAAATTCACAATGTAATTTTTGTAAATCAAAGATGAACTTCAATGAGCATCACAGGATAAGTTATCTCAAAATGTGTCTGTTTGGGGATCACATGTTGAACACTAGCTGGGATGTGCAGTAATTTTACTAACAGACTTTTGAGATGCAGGCAGATTGTCCCTCAGCTCCAGTAGTATTAAAGTGGTTCTTCAAAGAAATGCTTAACAAAACACAGCCTCATTCAAGATGCGTCCCGTTCTTTGCAAATTAACTAGGTCAAGTGGACATAAATCTTGGGGGCCATTTTAAACACTAACCAAGCTGATATGCCAAAACTAAGATCCTAATCCGTATTTTATGAAACGGACGTCATATGTTTCAGGTAGATTACCAATCTGTACACATATGCAAAAACACCTAAAATGAGTCTTCACCACTAATATATTCAGATTTAATATTGATATAATATTAATATAGGTGAGGTTATACTTACTCCCTCTCTTAGTAACTGCAGGGCCCTTAACTTTCTTCTTTGATTTTGTTTTAGCTGGCAACTTGGTTTTAACTTTCAATTTACCCTGAGGCATGTTTCACACTTTGTATGTGGCTTACTGAATTATCTAAGTTTAAACACTTTATATTGGTCGTCTTCAACGCAAAGCTGTCGCTTCTGTACTCCGACTTTAACGAACTGACTGCCATCTAGTAAGCAAAAGGAAAATTTCTACATGAAGTGTAGCGGGAACAGATACGTACAGTCATGACAAGATATCTACTACCCAGAATAATGCGCGCTCGAGGTCATGCACAAATGCCAACATTCGCGTTCTTTGCGGTATTCATTTTAATAGAAGAGTTCAGGTTAGAAAACTGTAGAAATTTG